CCCCCCCCTGTGATCTCTCTTACATGTTTGAATAGAGAAACAAGAAGTCAGCTCTCTGGGTTTATTAGTATACCACTCTATGTATCTAGAAGATCACCATTTACCAAGTGAGAAGAGCTGAAAAATACTTACTAGGAATGAGTTATGCTTTCCCATGCTGGGCCTCAGAAAGCTTACTTGTTCTCAACTTATATTACAAGTAACTGGAGTCCTTCTCCAGACAGGCAAGGTAAACAAATGCATATTCTTTCAGCTGGTATATGAAAGACAAGCTTTGTTTATGTCTTCCCAGTCAGTAGAGCTCGCATCATGTTTTAAGGTGTGCTTCAGTAATTAGAAAAATCGCTGACAGACAAAACTGGAAAATAAATGACATGGGCACATTGTTGTTATTACATTTAAAGCTTTTACCTTCAACTTAACAAGGTGCCAATTCCACTCATGCTCAAGTGTACCTAGACAGCAGAGCCAGTTGCCTTGTATTGGGAAAAGATGGCACTTGTTGCTGGTAAAAATAGGTATTGAGCTAACCTTTCCTAGGCTTTGTGGAGGGTTGGTAATTAATTATTGTCTCTTGTAGGAAGGAGATGAGCTTCATGGTGGCTTTTAGTCTTGGGAGATTGGATTGCCAGTGGTTAGAAGAATGTTGTCAACATTAAAATTTCCTGTTGCTTCTCCCAGTCCCTCGTGACTGAAGCAGATATCCTCTATCTTGCTTTTAGTGTGTTGTTCTCCCCAGACTTAACTTTTTTTTTTTTTAAACGTTTATTCATGGATGCTGTCATAGTGACATTGTTTCTTGGAGTAGTATCTACGTTATTGCAAGTGTTGTCTTGCCTCTTTGTTCTATACTGCCCTAAGCTTTATTTACATGAGAGTTCTGAATTATTGGCTGGGACTGGAACTCTGCCTGTAAACACTCCACCTATAATGCAGCAGAAGCGGTTGGTTTGTGGCTTCTCTTTGATATAATATGTTTTCATTAAGTAAAAACATGGAGAAGGTCATTTTCAGAAGATGTTAGTGTGCTTGTTTTGGACCTAGCCCTTTTCCCTAGTGAATCAATCATTGCACAACTCAGCATGACTGGCATTCTCTGATTGAGAGGCAGAAGCTCTAGCTTGCAGATGAGAGTTAAGTAACTGATCAGAATTCAGGTATCCTGGGAAAACCATGCAGTAGAAGCTTGTGGGTGATATTGGTGCTAGGTGTGTTTTAGCAGGTGGAATTTTTTAACAATAGGTATTTGGTTAGAAGTACAAACCTGTGTGCTGTTTGTATTGCTTCTGTGAGAGCTGCTAAAACTGGGCACAGATGCGTTTATGAAAAATTAAAACTTGCCTCACAAACTTGTACAAGCTTTAAAACCCATGAGGGAAATGCATACTGTAATAGAACCTTGTAACTTTTTAAGCAAAGTGTTACTTCAAGATCTCAAAGCTTATACGTATCAAAAATAGGTAAAACTTTCGGTCTTTAAATTTTTACACAAATATTCCCAGAGAAATGCCTTTGAAGAATTTAAAAATGAACTTAGTGTTCAGACTCCGTTTACAAAAAAACCCAAGCAAGCCAACAACAAAAAATCCAACCCAAAGAACCTGCTTGTGAAATAATGCAAGTTGACAGACTGTAGAGGAGTTTGTCACCTTTTTAAAAATAAGTGATCATGTGACAGCACTTGGAAACAAAATAGTTGCTGTCGTTTTGAAAACAGACTCCTGATGAAAGGAGAAAAGGAAGCCTTACATTTGGACTCCTAATGAAAACACTGGTGTATGCCTTATTTGCAAAGTCTTCTTTAGTCTCTGCTTTGATCTGTGTGTGGAGTTACATGTGACAGGTATCAGTCTATATATCTGTTCTTTCTGATTTAATTCTGCCCTTTTGTTCCCAAGTCTGTTTCATTCTATGTTCTGAGCAAATGCTTATAGCTCAAAAGTTGTATGGCATGCTTCATGTTGCTGAAGTTGTATTCTAGTTCCCTTACTGTGTGATGTTTGGATCTCTGTAGTAAACTGCTTGTGATGAGAGGAACAAGGTTAGGTGCTGAGCATTCACTCCTCTGTTTCTCCTGGGTTCAAATGTCATTCACCCATGATCCTTGAGGACAGGGGAGCTCTTTATTTCAAGTAGGCTTTAAAGCTAAAAAAAAAAAAAAAAAAAAAAAAAAAAAAAAAAAAAGGAAGGAAAGAGTGATCACGTAGCTCTCATGCTCAGGGAAGATAGCTGAGATAAGCAATCGTATGCTGTGTTACTTGCTGTTGTTGCAGTGGAGATAGCAGCTGAGGCAGGCTTGCCAGAGGAACTCTTCCTCAGTGTGTGACAATTTGGATGGGAATTTGGCCTCAGAGTAGTGATGTTTACTTGGTTTATGAACTCTGTTGTTCCAGCCTATTGCTGCATGTTAAGTGATGAGCAAATGTGGTTGCCTTTTGCTGTAGCAAATTTAAGTTTGTGTAGGTTTTCTTTTAATATAAGAACAATGGGAATATCTCCTGTGGGTTGTCAGAGTGTTGCTGACAAATCTGTTGAACATAGGAGTTTCTGTATCTAGCTCTTGTCTGAAATAATGACGTTCTTGACCTTTCTATTAAGACGTGTCTGTAAAATGTTATGACTGGTTTCAGAAGACATTTGGAAGGGGGAACTAAAGCAAAGTAAGTGTCCTTAGTAAATCTTTTCTTATGGCATTTCACTGATTTTTTTTTTTTTTTTTTTTTTTTTTCTGTATTTTCCCTTTCCTCCTCATAAACCTTTGTTCACAAAATGCTTTGTCTTTGGAAATTTACATTAGTTTTGAAATGAGGTGGAGCATTAGTATAATGAGACTGTATCGTAATGAAAGTAGGTTTAATTAACCAGTTATTTAAAATAGTAATGACTTCTGGAGTCGTGTTTATACTGCAGATGCAATTGATTTTAATCTTTGAAAGAGCTGCCCTTAGTAGGATCTTTCTGATTAATGTAGAATATTTATGATTAATACTTAAGGTCCTCTATGATATGGAAAGGGAAAAACTGGTTTTCTTCCTTCTGTATGTATATTAAAGAAGCAAAAGAAAACCTGTACGATTCTAACCCATCTGAAAAAACTTGTTTCTAAAGAGCCGGGGAGATTGAACCAGCTGATTTCCCACTCTAGGTGAGTGCACTTACAGTGAATGTCAGCATCTTGAAATGAGTGTGTGAAATATCTCATAACACTGTTCACTTGATGAGGTTAGTTTTAATTATTTATGACAGCCACTCTTGAAAACACTCTCAAGAGTTATGTAGTCTTGGATCAGACTACAGTATTATCTTTGAAAAAACTGGGTAAACACAGTTTCATAAATCACAGCTACACTGGTAATTTTGTACTGAGTAGACAACCTTGATGATGAAATAGCTCAAAGTCTACAATCTAAGGTGTGTAATAGAGGCTACACATAATAGATCTAAAAAACCACCTGTGTGTAGCATAATGTTAGAAGAAAGGCAATTTTTTTGGATATTGATTTTATTTTCAATTTCAGTCTCTCATCAGCTTCTGAAAATTGGTGATAATAAAGCATAACACCCACATTGTAAAGGAGCTTCTGATGAACTACAGTAACTTCTTGCTGGCCACTGTCAATTTGAGCAGTAGCTGAATGGCTTATTGATCATATTTCTTCTCCATATGGTTGTACATTTTTTCAGAGGTGAGGTAATTTTTGTTAGATACTTGTTTTGTGGATTTGGTCATTTAGATAGCTATCAAGTGTCTTAAGGGCTTAAGTGTAATATCGGTGCAGGGGAAGATGAGGGATTTAAAGCATTATGATTATGCTGGTATAACTCAGCCTAGTGAGTTCTCTTATTACATATAAAAAGCCTTTTTCCAATAGTTTCATAAGACGTCATTTGAGAGTCCATTTAAAAAAAAATTAAAAAAAACAAAACTAAAACTAAAATCAAACACAACAAACCCAAACCCTCCAAAATCAAGAATGCTGTTCTAGAAGAAAAATGGGTTGTTTTGCAGTTATGCTTGTATACTGAAATGGGTTTAATTATACTGACTTGAACTGTTCTGTGTAAACAAATTATTTGTGACTTCATCACCTTGATCCTGAAAGAAATAACAAAAAGCCGTTGCCATGGATGGGAGGATCTGTACTGTGCTTCTTCATTTAGGCTTCTACTCAGTCTAATGATTTTTATCACGTAAAGAGCTCGCTTTTGCCATTATCTAAAGCTTATTTAAATGAGGTAGAGGTAGTCGGTAGGACAAGAAAAATGGGTTTCCTTACTGGTTTCAGTGATACTGTCAGTAAAACAGTGATACAGCAATATTCTGTATTTAAAGCTGTAAGTACAATCGAGGAATCAATTCTGCCTAGTAATACACTCACAAATAGCTGCTATGTGGAAATCATCCTATGTCTTTTGTAGATCGTTTATATTGCAAGGAGTCTTGTGACTCCATTTATTTTTAACTCCGTTGAGTGCTTGTTTACCTTTGTGAAGTGACAGTTTTAATGTCATTCTTTGTTAAACTTTCTTCCAAGGGAAGCAGCAGATGATGTAAGAAAAGCTAACTCATTACTTTTTTTTTTTTCCCACATTACAGTTTCATATTTTTTTCACAGAATGTAGATTTGAGTTGTACAGAAGTAGTTGAGGCAAAACATTAAAGCATCTTTAACTAATAAGATATAGTCTGCTGAACAGACCAGTTTTGTCTGAAGTAAAATTAAATTCAGTATTTCTAAGGTGATTTAGGAGCAGCAACAAAATTTTGTTTTATAGTTGCTTCTCTGTCTCTGAACCTAATATACTTTTTTTAATATCTTGGTTATTGAATCTGGGGAGGCTTACTTCTCTTGTCTGGATGGTGCATATTTTAATTTCAAGGTTTAAACCTTCTTGGATATAATTTCTTAACCAGACTGTGCCAGCTGTGGTTTTTCTTCTAGAAGAGAAGGTTGTACCATCATACAGAAGTTGATTTTGTAGCTTGAGATCTTAATTTCAGAGGGTAAGCCATCTGAGGAACATTTTTTAATGTTGTGGGTACCCTGAAGTTTAAAAAGGGCTCACTTTGGAGCCGTGAGAGGAAAATACAGAAACAGCAAGAAATCTAGGAATCTGTTTTGTATTCTAAATGCAGAACTAATCGTTAGTGCATCCGAATTATAGGGAATCCTCTTGCTGAGTTCAGAAGGGCATTTTGGCAGGCTAACTGGCAGGGTTGGGCTTGAGCCTTGTAGTGAATGACTTGCCACAGTTTGACATATCGAAATACATTTTATTGGAATTTAATTAGTTTTTCTTCATTTGCCCTGTCAGTAAGAAATAGATGAACTGTAAGCATATGAATACACTTCTGCACAATTGTATTGACTGTTAATATTCTTTTTCTATGGCATAAAGTCATCTTCCACATGGGGAGGGGAAAATAATAATGTGCCATTGTCCGCTGCCTTGATGTGTAAAGACCTGCAAGACAAGCCTAAAGGTTTTTCTATCTTAAATTTTAAGACCTGTCTTTGACTCTGACTGGAAAAGCAATTAAATGGTCTGTGAGCTAAGTGTGAAAATTGAGTAATGGAGGAAAGAAGGGTTTGTAGTCAGTTTTTTAATGCTCTACTACTGTTAAAATCTGTTTAAACATCAGTGACTAGCATTTTTAAGAGGGTGCCTCCAATCAAAGATTTGGCATGAGTATTTGTAGGACTGAGACCTAACGATGTTCTTTGGAGGTGTTATAATATCATCAAATAAAACCAGAGAAAATTAGTTGGCAGTCTTTAATTCCTTTTTTTTTTAAAAAAAAAAAAAAAATGTTCTTTTAGGGTGGTTGGGGAAGGTTACAATATAAAGAGCAGAAAATCTCCAGACAGCCAAGTTTAAAAGGTCTTGAAGGTCACCTCTAATGATGAGACAATGATGTAATTGGTTTGCATTACATTATTCAAGTCATCATCTTTCCTCCACACTAAAGCTTTTAGTTTGTGTGGAGAAATCCCCAGTATGAAAGGGGCAGTAGACTTACATTAAGCTGTGAACTCATTTCGTAAAATGTGAAGCAGGATTTCAGCTATTTGGCCTTTTCAGAGGTGAGGAAGCTATCTGTGTCTCTTGTAGCTTTTTCAGTCAAGCTTTTTATCACTTTTCTTACTGAGCTAACTCAACTAGAGTTTGAGTGGGGTAAGAATCTGTCCACCAGTATTAATAGCTGATTTAGCTTATGTTTCTGACTGGCTTGTTTCTTTTTCAGATCCCTTGCAGTTGGCAGTAAATCAGGCTACAAATTCTTCTCTCTTTCTTCTGTGGACAAGTTAGAGCAGATCTATGAATGCAGTGAGTATCTTCTTTCTTTCTTTTTTTTTTTTCTTATCCCCTTGGTTGGATATTTGGGGAGAATAAGACATGTTTCACTTTTTCACAGGTTGTTTGAAATCAGCATAAGAAGAACTTTATGATGAAATATCACACAAATACAAAACAATTGATTGCTGACAGGGTAAAACTATGTATCAGTGTTCTGTATTTGAATTTAGCTGGTATGTTGTGAAATTTGGTAATAGCTATGAGGAGAACTTTCTGCTTTTCTAATTTTGTGTCCAATAGCCAGGTGTTACAGGTGTTAATTTACTGCTGTGAAAGAGTATCTTTTGAGTCTTTATATTGTATATTGGGGCAGGAAACTGCTAATATACCTTTATCAAATAAGAAAACAAAGTCTTGATTATCTTTTCCTTTAATCCTAATATTTGCTGTTAGAAAATTACTTTTTTAACATGATAGCTGCAGGATTATTCAACCAAAAGGATGTATAATGCAAGTTCCCATAATTTTTCAGTAGTGGTCACAGTTGAGTAGGATATTGAGATGAAATGGAGGGAGTCTTGAGGGAGAAGTGATATCCCCTGTTTTGCCAGCAGTTCATAGACTTCCCTTTTTTGAGGTGCTAATAAGTAAACTATGAATGCTATGCATGAGTATCCTTGCTTTCGTGTAAACTCCCATGTGAACAGATGGTACCAATCACTATGATGTCAGCATTTATAGTGGGATCCTGGTGTACCATGGTCTACACAAGCGTTGTCTTCAGCCTGTTCCCTAAGTGACCTGACCCTGTGGCATCTTAAGTTTGAAAATGGTGTGTGATTCAGATCACCTAGTACCTGTGGTGCCAGCCCCATTCTGTATACAGTCAATGGAGAGAAGTAATTGTGAGGTTCAAATTAGGCACTCGTGGTCAGGTTAAATTGTGTTGCAGCTACATCTGCCTGTTTGAGTCATGGTCTGGTTGTACAGGTTAATCAGTGGCTTGAATTCCATTTTATGCTCTTGAGTTTAGGTACCTGACCTCCGTAGTATGTTAGGCACTTATAGTATCTGGCCTGATATCACCCCAGGAGACTCAGTGAAGATGACTCCTGTTACACAAGACTGAATAACATACTGAGACTGAACTTTGCAAGACTGCTTCTTCTAGGTAGTCCTTGAAAGAAAAAGTACAGATTGGATAAAGTGCCTTGCTCAAAATCTTGCAATAAACTGCAAAGCAGCTGGGATTGAAATTTAGACCTGCTGATTTCAGTCTTGTCTTCACTGTTCTGGGATGCTTGTATTGGCTTAACCTCTTGATATTGTAATCTTTCTTCCATGAGTGTTAAGTCTGTAAATACAGAGCACAGTGTGAGGTACCATTCAGTAAAAAATATGATGGTTTGACCCGTGTAAGGTTTGACTAGCTTGTCTTGACCTTTGCTCATAGGACATGCAGTGTCTGCAGCAGATCTAAATGTTTAAGATCTTCATTTTTTGTATGCAGTTAAATAATTTTCAGTCTTGGGCTTGCAAGCCATGCCCGTTTAAAACTTGATATGGGAGTGGAGGGCTTCCTATGTATTGGGTACCTCCTTTCTACGAGGAAGGGTATCTTGAGGCCTCCCAGACATGTGCCTCCTGCCTCCCAATTTAGTTTAAGTGTGCCTAAAGTCTGTGCTGTTTTGAGTGAGCACTTCTAAGGACCCCTCCCTCTCTTCTGTAAGGTTGATCTGCCAGTTCTTGTGTAGGTGTCTAAAGGAGACTACAGAATATGACCCAGCTGTCTTGTGTTTGAGAGAAGGACTGAAAAAGAATGGAAGGTTACTTTCTCTGCTCCCATCACTGACTTCTACTGTGACTGTACAAATCACCTAACTGCCTGTTCAGTTGATCCTCCTGTAAAAATAAGTATTAGATTGGAGGGTGCTTTAAGGCTTAATGAATGCTTCATGTTCTTGGATTAAAAATGCAATAAAAGCACAGCTGATCATAATCTAGCTGGTTCTAACCAGCTCTTGTCTGTGATGCTACATGCTTGTGTTTATGAAACGGTAATCTTTTTATGTATTTGCTTGTTCTCCCCTTGCTGCTGATATTTAAGTGGTTTTGCAGTTCTGCTTTTTGTTCTTACTGTATTTTGAATCTGATTTTCTGGCCGTGCTCACTTGTGTGGAGTAAAGGAGAAAATACAAATAGGAAAATAACCCCTATGATTAACAGCATTACTATAAGTCTTACCTGGTGCTTCTAAACATGATTAATTCAGGTCAGCTGAATGTCGAGTGTGCAGTATAACCTGGTACTCAAATGGTTGCTGGTTAGGAAGCGTACATGGCTTTGCAGCTGTGAAGAGATTTTACGGCTTCTTTCTGTTAGGGGAAGACAGAGGAACTGAGGTGCATCCTGCATTTTTAAAAGTGAATTTAATTAAAAGCCTATTACAAAGCCTTTCTCTGAAGGTAACTATCTGTATTGTATTTGGTCTTTTTATGGTAAGACTGAAGGATTGTCTATACCTCTTGAGCATTTTCCTTGTTAAAAGTTTTTTCTTCTGTTTGTGACTGTTTAGTTCTTGGTAGTGCTCTTCCGTGAGTGCCTTCCTTCCCTGCTGCCTACTCTCCCCATCAGGGCAGCATAGAGCAGCACTTTTTACATTGAAACTGCTGCTGTTCCTACTCTGAAATACCAGTTCTCCTGCCTGCCTGGAAGAGTAACAAATCCCAGAAGCTGTGTCTTAACACAGTTGCCCCTGAATGGGGAAAGAAGCTGTGCTCACCCAGCAGCAGGGAGCAGTTAGACTGTGGTTTTTTGAGTCTCTGCATGCTGGTTTTTTGAGTGGTAAAAGGATGCCATCGTTACGAAGGATTCCAGGCTTAGATAGAAAGCTGATAACCTATACTGTGAAATATTTGAGAATCTTTTATGTTACTCGTCTGATTCAAGAGACATGAAACCTCCACAGTTGAAAGTCTATGCATAAATTTATTGAAGCAGATTTTTGTATTTTTTTCATGTGTTGTGTGTGGCATTAGGAAAATGGAGAACAATTCCTTGAAAACAGTCATTGCTAAAATGCCTTATCCCTGTTGCATGAGGAAAATGAATTTTCAAAGCCTCTCTGAGCTGTTTTGTCTTCTGGAAAAGTACCATATTAAATACTAGATTTAGATAAAAGTCAATTATGTTGCACAGAATACTGAAAATGCTTAGTATAAATCTGCTCCTTTTCCATAAGGAGGCTATTTCTCTCTCGCTCAAAAGAATGTAGAGCATTAAATATTTTCTGTTCTTTTTCTTGAAATAACTTCCCAGAAAAAGCACTTTCAAAGCAGACATGTCATGCAGTGATGACATTGTCATATGCTGAGAATGTTGGACAGAACTTTTTTCAGGGAATTTCTGTCATTGCTGATGAGAACAGTGCCAGCTAATTATTTAATGTGTCTCTTGGCCAAAACAGAAGGCTTCAGAAATAAGTTGGGGTTTGGTTTTTGTTTGGTCTTTGTTTGTTTTTTTTTTTTACTGGCCATTTTACGGTTTGGAATGTGTTAAGCATTGAGATAATCCAGATACTGACTTCTGAAAAACTTGGTTGTTTCAGTGGATCTAGGCCAAAGGCTCAAGTCATTTGTCTTGATTCAGTTCTGTGATGGAAGGGCAGGCGTAGCCAGTAGCTGCAGTGGTAAAACTCTCCAGCTTTCTCCTGCTGTGAAAACGGTGTCTGCTGTGTCTATGGGGCTTTTGGAGGGGAGCTTCAGGGGCTGGGAGGGGGAAGCACAAGTGCCAGGGTAACTGGTGGTAGAATTTGGACTCTACCAGCTTGGTCCAGTACAGTGCTATAATCAGATGCTCTGAAAGTGCTTCTTTGCTGGAGATCCTGGACTCTCCTCCTTCCTGCTGTCTTCCCCACATTTTGAATGGTTATCTGTGGTCCTTTGCCTCAGTGCTTCTGTAGCAGAACACTTGACAAAAGTGGTTTTTGGCTATGAGTACATGCTGGGCTTTGGTGATTCTTGTACAAATTGGTTTCAGGTGAAAGATATGTAAAAATACTAATCAGTAGCTGAAGCAGTCTTGTAACAAATGAGTGTACCACTTCTTTGAGTACAATAACCTTTCTTCATGGAGAGGTGTGCAGAAACTCTAAGGTTTTGGGTCATCAAAAACCCTTCTATGCATAATATAGCTTTAAAACCAAACAAAAAAACCCAAACTCCTTTGCTTTCTTAGATTTCTGCGGAGGTGAGAGAAGATTGTAAAATTCTGAAATTTGACAACTTGCCACTTTTTGTATCTTTGGGGTTTTTTTCTGTTGGATCTTGGGCGGGGGGTAGCTGCTCTGTTCTGAAACATAAACTTGTATGACACCGCAGGGTGCGGGGAGGAAGTCTTTGTAAATCAGCATTCACTGTGCAGACTTTCTACTTTAAAAAGCTGATCTGCATCCCACCTTGAGTCTGAGCTGCCATGGCAGAATGTTTGTGGTGGTAAACTGTATTTTCTTAGAGAGTATTTCCTGTTGATGTGCATCATTCTTCTTCCCTGAAATCTCTCTCTGTATTTTTTTCCCCTCACTGCTGTGGTTCCTCAGCTGACACAGAAGATGTGTGCATTGTGGAGAGGCTGTTCTCCAGTAGTCTGGTGGCCATAGTTAGCCTTAAAGCTCCACGCAAGCTGAAAGTTTGTCACTTTAAGAAGGGGACAGAGATTTGCAACTACAGTTACTCCAACACGATCTTGGCTGTCAAACTTAATAGACAGGTGAGTAGTAATTTTGACTAGCCGAAAACACGAGAAGGGGTTGTGGATCTTATTCTGGCACTTCCTGTGCTGGCTGACTGTCTGTTCCTTTGGTGACAGAATTGCTATTTGAAATTAACTTGTACTTTTTCAACTGTAGCTTCTGTATGGCATCTCAGTACTCATACTTGGTTAAGTGGTTTTGGTTCTGTGATTATGTATTTACTTAGGCAAACAACCTGAGTAAGCTGGGCTTGCTTTGGGTAGGAGGTTGGACTAGAGACCTCCTGAGGTCCCTCCCATGCATCATCATCCTGTGATCCTAAATGTGAACGTATGTGAAACTGATGGTTTCTGTTCAGGCCTAAAGTTAATTATCTATTCATTTTTTTATGTTTGAAATACAGTTTGCTGATTTCTTTTTTTAAAAAATAATTAAAAAAAAAAAAATATCACTGAACTGGTGAAACTTTTGAGTTAAGTACCTGGAACCATTGTTTGCTTATTGCTAAATCATTAATAGGCTCTTCTGTAAATATAAACTTCTCTGTCTTCAACCGGTTCATTCAAAGTAGAGAATGGCATCTGAAGGAGTAAATTTTCTTAGTGTCCATCCCCAAAAATCAGGTGTGGGAAAGATGGAATTCCTGTTTAAACTCATAACAGTGAAACAGGGAAACTGGCTAATTTGATTTCTGGCACAGTGAGGTAGCATTAAATGAGTGACATCTTGTTAGTCATCCAGATGTATGTAGTCTGTGAAAGTGTAAATGAGATGTTGAATTTAAGGTTGGGATTTTTTTTTTTTAAAAAGCCCTCACAAATGGTTAATAGGATCTATAAATGGTTAAAGTCTTGTATGTTTCCTCTTTTTAGCCAAAGTAGAAAATTATATCCATATGTGAATTGGGATCTTGAGGGGGGGGGGGAATACATAAGGGCAGGAACAGAATAAGAGTTAGTTAGCTTTTAAATGAAGGTTTCTGGCTTGCTGACTTAAACTAGTAATGTAAATCATTTTCATTTAAATCAATTTGCACTAGCATGGTTGAGAGAAGTCAAGTGCACTGGTCAGTTCAAGTGACTGAGTGTAGTATTGCGCTGTTGAAGCCTTGTCAAGAGGTGTATCTTGTGTATCTTCTGTCAGACTCTTATTTCTTCCCATAAGATGGGTACAACCTTTTCTCTATTAGAAGGTACCTACTGCATTTTTGGATACAATTGTTTTAGGATTGATAAATTAATATAAGCTCCAGTTTAATGTCAGCATTTCGTCCTCTTTCCCATGTCTAGAGGCTGATAGTATGTCTGGAAGAGTCTCTCTATATACACAACATACGAGACATGAAGGTATTACATACAATCAGGGAGACACCTCCCAATCCTGCAGGTAAGTATCTTGTTAGAGCCTAGCATAACTCTGGAAAGTGCATTCTGTGTCAACATATGACATTCCTACAGGGAACTGTAGCATTGTTAATGCCCCTTTCAAATAAAAGTAACAACGAAATACATGAGTGTCTCAAAGCCTACCCCTTTAATCCAGGTGAGGCTTTTGAGAGCAAATAACAAACTCAGCCTTAACTGCATCTTCCCAGTATTTTAGTCTTCTAGAGTGGATGTGTTGAAATGTTAGAAAAAGTAGTAGAGATACAAACTGGACTTTGCCAACTCTTGATATAGTTAAAGGCTTTGTCAGGTTAATGCTTTAGGAGTCACAGCAGACATGGGAAATTCTACTGCTTAATCAGTTATTGTAGCTCTATTGGTATTCTTCCTTTTCTGTTTCATATTGTACTTACATTAAATAGTTGAGTATGTTGCAGGTGGACTCCTGAGATTGCTCATACTTATTCTGTTTCTGTTGATACCTTGTGAGGATAAGTTGAGTTACCTTTGTAATATTCAGATGCAGAATCAGAAAGTTTTGCTGCATAAGTCTTGGAATTTGCCTCTTTCACATTCTGTTTCTGCATCCCTTCTAGGGTTGTGTGCTTTATCAATAAACAATGATAACTGCTACCTGGCCTATCCAGGGAGTGCAACTATTGGAGAAGTACAAGTCTTCGACACCATCAATCTGGTAAGAATCTTTGTGAATGCTGTTCCCACTTCTAAAGATGCAGTTTCTTGGAATGACTTAACTTGGAGACCAGTTACTAGAACTGTTAGGTTCCTCTGCATCAGTTTGCAGTATCTCTTATAGTTATGCTTCACAGAATGTCAGCAAAGAAAACAGATGCTAGTATTAGATTTGATGAATAGAGCTGGGTAGATGGGTGGAGCAAAGTAAAGTAGTTTGAATTGTCTTTTAAGTATCCTTCTACTGCTTGTACTCTCTATGCACATGCTTCACTGATAATTTTATATACTTAGCAGTTACTGAAACAAGCTGTTGTCCATAAAATAAGGACCCATATTTGCCCTGAATGCTGTTAAATATGCAGTCTTAAGCTGCAAGCATGTAGCTTTTAACATGTACTGGACTAAGATTGTATTTTATTGATTCACTCCTGCAGAGAGCTGCCAATATGATCCCAGCTCATGATAGTCCCTTGGCTGCTTTGGCATTTGACTCAAGTGGTACTAAACTTGCCACTGCGTCAGAAAAGGTAAGGTGGCTTTTTATTGACTTTACAACAGTGATAAAAATTAAATTAGTTTCTAATAATTTTAAGTAAGTTTAAGCATGCACAATTCCATGCACAAGTGCCAAGAAAGAAGGATTACAGTTATAATGGCAGATCTAAGTTAGGAACTGTTAATGATATTGACAAAATTTCCATGCTGTTAAATGTTGGATAATAAAATTATTTAGATAAACACATTTTAATCTGGCTGTAATCAGGGCAAACTTCTAAGCATTTCTCCTTTTAGTGCAGGATACTTCTTAGAAATCAGTTGTCTTGATTCGATGCTCTCTTCCTAATGAAAACGAGACGGTTAAAGTCAGAATAGAGAGGTGTCTTGCCAGTCTTTGGCACACAATGACAAATTGTCCATTTAAATTGTATAAATTAAGAAGTCTGAATCCTCCGCTCTTTGAGTAATAAGCTTAGAATATAAAGGTGTGACTGATTGCATCTGCTAAAGGCACAACGGCATCCAGGTGACTGTACTTGTACTTGTTTAGTGTGGTCGTTTTCATGATCAAATATGATAAGAAAGGCTGTTCTTGATGCATAGCTTGTTCTCTGCATTAGTAGCTCTCACCTCTTCTTGTTTCTCTACTCTTCAAACACATCCCACGAAAAGCTCCATAAATATTTCATGCTAGTATGTGGTGTGCATCAGCAGCAATAAGTTAACAGCAAAATGGTTTGCTGCTTGTAGTTATACTCTGCTCACTGGAGCTAATAGACAATGAATGAACTTAAAATGAATTTATTTTTTTTCTTTACAGGGGACAGTAATAAGAGTGTTTTCCATTCCAGAGGGACAGAAACTCTTTGAATTCCGGAGGGGAGTGAAGAGGTAAAGTTCAACAGGGCTAATTATCTGAAGCTCATTCTGTATGGTAGATCTCCAGTATGTTCTGCAATTGAGCTGGCATCCTGATTTTTGCCTAGTTTCATCTTCATTCATCTCTAACTATACACTTTTAACAGTTTCAATTTGAATGTCTTCCAATTTCAGTCCTTTGGACTTGACAATTCTACAAATCAGTCCTGTCAGAATTATACTCCCTCTTGCCTTTTAAAGATTTATTGGCGAGGGATCTTGTTTAAAGTGGGTCACCTTTTCTGAGACATATTGTATTCTGATGGCAATTGGAGGCAGTACATCTAATACTCTCTCTCTCTTCTAAACCCTGCTAGTGCTGTGATCACTGATAGCAGTTGTGAAATGGTACTGTGATTTGTGATAGTAGCAAATGTGTAGTTCTACTATACTTTATGCAGAGGTAGGACGGAGTTCAGATTGTGACTAATTGACCCCCATATCTGGTATACATCAGAGTTGAACATCATCAACAGGGATCTGGCTCTTGAAGTGCTTTAAGATGGTATTGGAGAATTCAGAGTGCTTACTATGGAAAGATTCTTTTTTCTTATTTGCAAAGCAGTGGTGACTGAGAAATCTGCTTAATTATTAAATGAAATAGTTTGGCTTAATTGTGAGTCACCTGCAGTCTCTAACAGGAGAAGAGCAGGTGAATCTACCATGCAGCCAGAGTTTCCCAGCTCTCACAGTGCAGCTCCTGTGAACATTATGGAGCTCCTTAGTGGTGAATGTGCAGAAAGACTCCTACCTACCAAAATGGAGAAGTAATATTCTCATTTAAGTCAATTCCCATGAGTTAGTTAATACTAGCTTTCTTCTTACACTAATCGGTACAATATTAGAATGTCAGAAATAATGCTTTATTTGTTTTCCTTTCTATTTTTTTCTCTAGGTGTGTGAGCATCTGTTCGTTGGCTTTCAGCGTGGATGGCATGTTTCTGTCTGCATCCAGTAACACAGAGACGGTGCATATCTTCAAACTTGAGACTGTGAAAGAAAAGTAGGTTTCAGAGGTGCCTTAGATTTTTTTCAAGGAAAAGCCTTTAAAATTGATAATATTCACCAGGATGACTCCTCCAAAGTGTGGACAGGCTTCTTTTGAACACTTCTGTAAAGTAAAGGGCTTAAGAAGTCATTTACAGATCAGCAAGGGTAGCTGAGCTGTGTACTGTCCTCACAGTGAATAGAAAAGGTATTTCTGCCAAAAACAAATTGGCCATCCTTGGCAGAGAAATGTGGAACAGTTTTAACATTTTCAGTTACATTTGTGTTTTACTGCTTCTGACATCTGTATGGAAAGAGGTACCATCTCAGCAATGCCTTCCAGCTGCCTGTAGGGCTTTAAAAGGCACGGGGTTGTAAAATGTTTCTATTTATGATTTGAGAGGGCAGTCTTACTTCCATAGGAACGTAAGTTACTGAAAACAAGGATTTGCTTAGTGATAGACAGGTGAATAAAATACTGAAGTGTAGCACTTTTCCAGTAGGTCTCGCTCTTGTATAATGAACCTTATGAAATGCAGTTTTATAAGCAGATGTATCAGTTTACAATCAAACATGCTTAAATAACAGGCTGAGGGTACTGTAGGAAACATTGTGCCCTGTAGCATAAATTAAGTGATTAAGAGTTCTCAAGGGTGTTATTTCTGAAGAGAAACAAATAGCTGCTTGATATCTTTATAAATAATAAGATGTTTCAAAGTGTTTACACACTTTTTTCTCTAATGTGAAGGTAAAGTCAGTCACTTTTTTCTTCTGACTCATAGACCTCAGGAAGAGCCTACAACCTGGACAGGTTACTTTGGAAAAGTGCTGATGGCCTCAACAAGCTATCTGCCCTCTCAAGTAACAGAAATGTTCAACCAGGGTAGAGCCTTTGCTACAGTCCGCCTGCCATTCTGTGGGCACAAAAACATCTGTGCACTTGCCACGTGAGTAAAGAAATTGAGGCTGCTGTGTACAGCACCGGGTTGCCACATTGGGCTATGGAGAGGCTGACGCTGTAGAACATAACCTCATCTCCGCACAGCAGTGGATCACCTGTAATTCATTTCAAAGCCTTTTCCACTTTAAGAGCAAGGTGTTAGAGCTAACACCTTGCAGTGCTATGAGGGGAGGAGGAAAAGGCGTAATATTTGGATGAGAAGAGACTATTTCTAAGTGTTGTTTAAAGATATATTTTAATTTTGAAAGGAAACTGTTGAGAACAGACCCATGGGCTTATGGCATTTGCTTCCATTAGTGCTAGGGGGGCTGATACTGTGTGTTGGGTTAGTGAATTGCAAAATTAGGCAATCCAGACTAACCATTAAAGAAGTCTTTGAAAGCAAGTCCATATTATTCTTGTCTCTAAAACAGCATAGCATTCATTAAAGTTAATTGTAAGGACTAAATATAATCTTTATTCTGTATTCACCGAAGGCAGGTCCCATTTGGCACAGCTACCAAAGCAATAAGATGAGCCAGTAGTAAGCTTATTTTGTGGGAGTTTTATAGTTTTTGTCCTAAATTGACTTCACATCTGTACTCCTACTCCTCTGATCTCAAAACACCCTTTAAGCAGTAGTTAAGCCTTGTAACATTTCTGAAATAATACTTCCCGTTAGAATATTTGTCTCTGGAGTTCACAAAGCTTGGTAACAGGATGGTAACTTCTGAATCTGTTTTACTGGGTTATATAGAAGTTGACCGATTCCTGTGGCATCCCATTAACCCTAAGGTGTGGTTATGCCTTTTTTTATTTACAGTTCTTTCCTAGGTGCTCTGTCTGTTAAGTGTTCCCTGTCTAGGAGCAGGAGTGGACAATAATGGTTTAAAATTGTGGGAGGGGAGGAGAGTGTAATTTCTTAATTCTTATTAATTTGTTGCTCTCCCCTAACCCTTTCCAGAATCCAGAAGATCCCTCGTTTATTGGTGGGAGCTGCTGATGGGTATCTCTACATGTACAACCTGGACCCCCAAGAAGGAGGAGAGTGCACACTAATGAAGCAGCACAAGTAAGTCCATATTAGCTGAGGACTGTTGTACTTTATTTCTTCACAAAATTCAGGTTGTTCTTAAATTTACTTATGTTCTGCAAAAGTCTAGCTTAGAACAGCTCATTTCTTTAATCTTTTTCCAGATCTCTGACACAAGTGAGTAACTTCAGAATCCCCCTGTGCCTGCCTTCCTAGTATCTGCTACACTAAGCACCACTTACCAGCAGAAACTTAACCCTGTCCGATTGCAGTGAGGGATCAGTCGCTGTTAGCTGTATGATCCTCTTTCCTCTTACTTGGCACTTTGAGCTGATTTACTTAAAAAAGAACTTGGAAATGACTGACACCATCCTCCTCATCAATAAATGAAGTGGTTACAGAATGAAAAAGAGGCATTACTGGGACTTCAGAGGGGAATCTGGCCTATGAAATTATTTGTATTCTCTCTCTGCTGATGTCCTTATTAAACTTCCTTGCATATAGGCCAGCCAACTAATGTTCTGCAGCAGTACTGTAGACCACTTAAGGAAAATATGACAAGGCATTGTTATCTTTTGATAAGGTTTGGTAAGAAAAGCAACGTAATTTAGTCATTACATGATCTATCATAGAATTGAAGTCACTAACTCACAATGATAATTCCAGTTTTCAGCTTTGGTCAGTCTGTAATGCTTGTCAAAAATCATACCTTTATCTGAATGTTTTAAGGTATGACCTCTGGTTTCACTTTTAGATGAAGTGTGAGGGTTCAGAGGGAAGTTTTTTTCAAGTTTCTAATCTCTGAAATGCTCTAGTACCTTTGCTACTAGAGGGTTTTCTAGTATATATGTAAAGCAAATGCTTCTGTTGTGGACAGAGCTCAGGAGACAATCTAATATTGCTGATTGGAATGGTAATTTTTTTTAAATCATCCATTCTTGAGTCTTTTTTTTTTTTTTTTCATCGCATCAGCTACTAGGATATAGGCTGTGATGCTGTGTCAGAGGCATGTTGCTGATGTGTCGTCAGATGCCCTTGTGACAGTCCTTTGGACTGGAAGGACCAAGTCCCTCCTATTGCATGTGTATATGTATTATTTGTGAAAGTCTAATGAGATTTTCTTCCGTAGCTGTCAACTGAAGCTGTGTTATGCCCAGTAGCTCATCTCTCCAGCTAACCTGTCTCTGCTGTGTAGGCTTGATGGCAGTATGGAGCCAGCCAACGAAATTCTAGAGTCTGCATCCCATGACCGGCCGTTGGTAGCGCAGACGTACAGTGCCGCTGTGACTAAAGGTACATACGTGCCTTCCTCACCCACAAGGCATGGTAAGGAGAAGGCTGGAAAGGGGGCAGAGAGTACCTCTGCGTATTGCTTCATTCTAGATGGCTGCGTGAGCTCATCTGCTTCAACAGTGAGCTTTTTGTAACCGTGGGTGTGATGTGGAGCATTGCTGAGCAGCAGGACAAGAGCACTTGTGATGGACAGTAGCCTCCTGTAGGTGGATCAGGCACCTTTGCAACTTTCAGAGTAGAACTTTGTCTCGAATTGTGGTTGATTACTGTAGTGATAGTTGCAGTACTTACCAAATGGTCCCTGAGATGCCCTAACACAATCATTTCATGCAGGAGTTCTACATCCAGACCTCATGCAAAGCATCTGAATTATAGCCCCTCCCGCTTTTTTTTTAACAAGGTTGATAAGTGCTGCTATCATTCCTTTATGGGAACAGTGACCTTTTAGCCTGATTTGCTGCTCTATTAAATTGAGAGGATGAGAATTTGGTTCATGCTGCAGCTCTCTGAGTGGAGCTTCTACCATCTTTGTATGGCACTCAGGTCAGCGCTGCAGCTGCAGAGGCTGCATATGTAGCATCAATACTGCGGTTACAGCTGTAACACATGAGTAGAGATTAAAAATATCAGCCTGCCCTGAGCATGAGTACACATGGCACATACACAGAGCAGTTTATGATTAAACTGCTCTTGGCTTGGAGTAACACGGTCATGATAAAAGCAAACATAGGGTGGCAGTGAAACTGTTCCAAGTAACGTCTGATGCTTCACCTCTAATCATTCACTTTGGATCCAAGCCTTAGTCTGTGCTGCTGATCCCCCAACTGCTTCTTCCTTTCTCTCCAGCCTATACTGATGACCTGGGTGCTGTGGGTGGAGTTTGCCTGGAAGATGAAACCAACTCACTTAGATTGGACGAAGACAGTGAGCATCCTCCCATGATCCTTCGGACAGACTAAACTTTGACCTGTGAACTCACTCCTGAAGCAGAGAACACTGGCTTGATGTTTCTTGAGGAATCTCGTGTTATGCTGCTATGAACTTTGACATGAGTTGGGAGAGAGGAGGACAGACTCTTACAGTTTTAAGTCGTAGCTGTAGTTCTAATTCTATACAATTGGAAAAATATATGGTTTTCAATTCAGTGGCTTTTAATCTTGCTTATCTATTTTAGCTGTGTTGTTTTTTTTTTTGTTGCCAAAACCTGCTGTTTGTGCAGCCCTCAGAGCCTACTAGCTTTGCATGCGTTCATGTGCCAAGCAAGCATAGGAGGGGGAGAGAGAGAGAAGCCACTTTATAACAAACCCAAGTTTGTATTTTTTTTATATATGTATATAATATTTAGCTTATATAAGGAAGGAGTAGAGAAGTGGTTCTGGAAGCTGAGACTAGTTCTGCACTGACAAAGGTCCAAATGGTTTCCTGTGCATGGGCTTGCAGGCATACCTAGTGACTGACATGCAACCTTTCAAAAATGCAATGGCCTGTTTTTTTGGGTTCTCCCTCCCCTTTCCTGGACCATTTTGTTAATTAAAATTCCTTCTGAATGTTGTGTATTTGTGGGACTGTTCTGTTTGTTGGGATGGAAAACTGAAAGTGTTTCCCTGCATAAGGATATAGAATATAGAAAGTGCCTTTACAGGGAAGAAAATTAATTGCTGCAGGAAGAAAGCTAGAATGAAGGAGGAATTGCTAGAGACTCTTGTTGGTACATCTTTAGTACTTGGGTGTCTATAGCCCATAGTGGCTGGTAAGCTTGTGGGGTATTTTAGAGAAGACTTGGAATGCACTTTCTTTCTCTCCTGTAGATTGTTTTATTTCCTTGGCAGAGTAGCAATAACTTTTTTTTTGATACTTTTTAAAATTATCCAAAGCGAGGATTCTGTCAGGCTGGATGGAAGTCCCTGTAGAGTATGGCAGCCCCACTCTTGAAACAGCCTTAAGGTGTTCAGCTGGAAGGCATAGCTCTCAGTTCTTGCCTCTCTTCAGTCTGGGGCTGAGTGTACAGCTCTAATAGTGAAGGTTCACTTTTTCTTTTCTCCAGATACTGATGTAAATATAAATGATTTTGAAAGGTTAATTTTCTTCTGGGTTCTCTTCTGCTGGATAAAAGTGCTTTTTTGGGTTTTTTTATTTTCCCTTTCATCAGAGTACCTCTTGTGATACACTCCAAGGACTGGTTGTCTCTTTGACGGTTTTGGAATAAATGCCTAACTGCCCTGACCCTGGCTAGGGCTTTCCAAGGCTGAGCAGTGCTGCAGACTATTTTTAGGGTTGTAATGTGCCTTCTCTTAAGTCTTGGATAGCAGTTAGTGAGCAAGTGATTAGCAGAGTACTTGGTGAGTGTTTACTTTCCTTTGCCAAAATGAGCCTGCTTTGCCTTTGTGTAGCAATGTGGGTTGCTTCCTTTCCCTCTACTGACTGCTTGCAAAGAAATAAAAATAAAAACAGGAGGAAATCGCAGATCTGGAGAGGAGAACAGAAGCTGGGTACTCCAGCTATGTATGAATTCTTATCACAACTAGTCAGTGATGTGCTTTTAGGATTTGCTGCTGTTAACAAGTCCTCTCTTGAGCAACAGCAGGCGGTGGTCTTTGTCCCCAAAGCCCTATGTGGGCAGGTGGGCTTCCCTTTCCTCTGAAAGTGCAGAAGATGGTGGTAGCCCCTGCCAAGAGAGCTGCCTGTATCAGTGACGCTACTGTTAGGCCATGTAAGTGGAAGATTTGAAGATCTCTTTGAATGAGATGAGCACATGTGGGAGAGAAGGTATTAGGCTTGTTTATTCACTGAAAACCCTTGACTCTAAGTGGTTGGCTGGAGTGGCTTGTGGTGTCCTCCAGAACCCAGTATGTCCAGAGCAAACCACTGAGCCATGCTGAAATCTTGCTTAGTCTCTTGACTTTAAGCTTGGCTGACAACAAAATTCCATGGTCTGGAATTATTTTTTTTTTAACTGCAAATGCTACCAGCTTTGCTGTGGAGCTCATAACTACAGGGTAAAATACAAGTCCTGAAGTAAATAAAAGCTCAGTGAGCTTTGCTGGCAAACTGAACTGTCCAGGAGCTGTCAGATGTCTGCTTGTTCCAGACTGAAGCTCATAAATGTTCCTGCTAACATACTTGGAGGCTTGGTGTAGACTCCACAAGTAGAGTTAGCAGTAAGCACACATAAGCAACACAGGTCTGCAAGCACATGAGTTTTACAATTCCTGACTTCATGTTATGGAGTAAGATAAAATCCTTAATGTAATTACTAACTTCTACTGCTAAAAATTTAGAACATTTATTGTACTAATTTTACCCCTTCTTAACGTTCACACCTTATCTTCCACAGGTGAGTTGGAGACCCCATATTCACTGTATTTGTGTCTTCCACATGCTGTAGTGTGATCCTGAGCCACACACTGAATCGCTATGCCCTGCTTGGTTAGCTTTTATGCCAAAGCTGGAAGCCAGTTAAAGTGTCTGTCTTGTTGTAACTGGGAAAATCTTTTTTAGAGAGCAAAAGTACAAACGTTCTCTGGTTAGTGACCAACATGGAGCTAGTAGGGTGGTGTAGGTGGTTTCTGATCCCCACTGACAGGGTATTTAGGAGTGACGACAGTAGTTTGTCTTAAATTCATTGCATGAGGATATAATCTTTGTCTCAGATAAAATATGACTAGTATTTCCCTCTGGCTTAGGCCCTCAGTAACCACCCTGTTGTGGTATGCTACCAAAGTTAGAAGCCTTTCAGGTTGAGGTTTCATCCCAATGACACAAAGATGTTTTTGTTGTGGTTGGGTTTTTTTTTTTCTTAAACATACCAGAAATGCTGTTTGCAGCTACATCCCCACCTGAGTATGGAGCACGTGACTGCACTGTTATGCTCTGTGGATTAGGTGGTGTCTAAACATTTTTATTCTGATGCTCTAAGAGCCCTGGATTCCTCAGGGTGAGCCAAGGAGGCTCTAGCCCTGTGCTGTGGCTTGTGTTTCTAGTCACACGAGAGGGGAACACCTGTACAGCCCCTCTCATCTTAAGACTGACCTTCCTTGGAAGGATGGTGTTGGTTCTGTGACAGTGTGTGTGTCTCTAGATACAGACTGCACTTCTTGATAGCTTTTTAACTTACTAGAGGATTGGGGGTAGAGATAAACAACTGCAACAACCAAAGCTGGGGAAGGGGGGAACGCTTTTAAACTTGGAATTCTAAACTCAGGTCTTAAATTGCAGTGGGATCTGTTCCCAGTGAGTACCATAGGGAAGGAGCTGTTTCTCTTGATGTGCAAATAGGCAGTGAGTGTGCATGGTCCGCTGCTGCCCCGACATCTGTCTGTTTACCCTACTTTGTATTTCAAGTTCTGAGACAGAAAGCTTTTATCTGCTCTGGTCTCTTCTTATGTCACTGTTTCCAAAATACAAGTGATAGATACAAATCTAGCAGTTAAAAGGCTGGGCCTGCCAGAGGATGAGGAAGTAAAAAGCATAAAGAGGTTAGTAAAAGCTGTTTCTGAGGCCCTGTTCAGCAAGACATTTGTGCCAGTGCTCCCTCTGGGATCAGATGTGTGCACGTACCCTGCTGCTCTAGGTCCTATGCCAGCGAGTTTCTTGGGCCTGTTTCCTGCGAGGGTGGGGGTAGACATGGTGGCTTTTCAAGTCTGCCTGAATGCAAATAAATATCTGAGCAGGCTTAATACAGTGACAGGTGGCTCCACAGAGGAAACTTGCATCTGACTTACACCTAATAGTAAAAAGGGAGGAGTGAACTACAGAGCTACCAGCTCGGTGAGTAGGTTAGCGTAGAGCCCTGAGAGCCAATCAGCAGAGCACTCTGTTACATCCCACGCTGAGCTTTCTTGCTCTAATAATGGCACTGGCACCAAAGCAACATGCAGTAAGACAGTAGAATTTCTTTCCTGAGCTGTTCAGTGTACCACTTGTGTGTGCAGATGCTCCGCTGCTGTTTGCAGAGTGATGGGAGTCTTTGTCCAAAGCATTGGTGGGGGATTAATAATCGCTGCAGAGGTTTGGAAAGTTTCATTATGCGCTCTAGCTGTCCAGGCTCAGTCGCCTTGATTTAACCTGTTAACATCTGAGAGCAAGGCAGAGCGTCTTCTCCACTTGTGCAGAGCAGGCCTTTCTGTTTCTGGAGTCTGTGCAGCACTATGAAAGGCTTGCAATGAAGAAAGCATGGCTCTGACTGTAAATAAATCCTGTCAGATTCCAGTTGCGCAACCAAAGGAATTCAGCAAATTCCTATTTTTCTAACCATGACATGCCTTCATTTTAACACTCTTCATATTAGCAAGTCTCATCTTACGCTGCCTGGAGAATAACGGACAAGAAGTTCTTATTCTGGCTTGCAAATAGCTACAGTTGTGCTTGTTACAGATGTCTCAGTGCTGTGGCTTTGACCATGCGGCTGCAGCAATCTGTACGCTGACTCCCCCTGCGCTGCCTTTGCATGTGTCTGGTTTCTCAGGAGTGGTGAGTTGTTCCCCAACCTGTAGCTCTGGGTTTCTGTGGGGCGTTGACTCAACCTTGTCTACCTGGACCTATTTGCTCTTGCATTTGCTTCCTCACCTGGAGGGGAAAAAAAAGAAAACCCAACCTGCATCCTGCAGTGCTCACTTACTCTGTTTGGTATCTGTGTCAATAAGTGGAAGAATCTGTCTTAACATTCCACCTCACCAAGTGTCTGGCTCTCACTGCTAGCCCATCGCTCTTTGTAATTTTTATAACTGCCTAAGAAATTAAATCTGTGTTGTGATAAGTATTCTGTGTCCTCTTCCTTTTGTTTGCTGCTTGGAGATGGGGCCGGATAAGATCAGGGTGATGCTACGTGTATTCTGTGGCCCAAAACAAATCACCAGCAGTAATAAGCCCTCAGTCCTAGCTGTGCTTTGTAGCTGCTCTCGAAAGACACTGTCAGCTTGGGCTTTGCAGGGACGGGGAAAGGACAAGCTGTGTTTTTCTTGGCACATTTTGCTTGCAAATGTAATTTTCCCTCTTGTTCCTCCTTAAAGCTGCTCTTCTTGGGACTTGAGCGTTCAGGTGTTTTTCTCCTGCTCCTCAGGTGAGTTTAGATAACTTCCTTTATTCTTTCTTTTACGGGTTGCTTCTGAAGCAGCGCTTTTAAATATGCACCCTGCTCGCTGTGTGCTGTCACTCCAAGCTTGTTGCTTCTTGCCTTCAAGCCCAGAAGGAAGATCTGGAGCGAGCCCATGCGGATGGGCGAGGAGGCATCTCCTGCTTCTGTGTGTATCCTTCCTTTTGCAAAGCCACGACGAACACTCTGATTGGGGTGGCCAAGAGAGGAGCAAAAGCCCTTCTGCTCATGCTAGAAATGGCGGAGCATGTGATGAGGAGACTCTCCTTGTCCTTCTGCATGACTGTTTACCAGCGAGGCCTCAGCCGTGAAGCTGCAGACGTCTCCTTTCCTGATCCAGCTCTGGAGGGCAACACTGTCCTCTCAGTGCTGTCTGTGTGCCTCCATTTGCTTCAGGCAAAATCGGCTGTGTTAGCTCAGATGAGTGTTTCTAAACTGTTCATTCGGCTGCTGGTGACATCTCCTGTCTCCTGCCTGGAGCAGAGGATCTGAGAGAAGCTGGATTCAGTAAGTGGCAGCAGCTTCCAGCCACAGTGGCGATGCCAGCAACTCCTCTGTCCCCCACACGCAGATGGACGTGGTCATCTGATGTTTTGGGAGGTCCAGCTGCCCCTCTGCTCCTGCCCCGGGAGAGCGAAGCAGAATATTCTCCAGTAAGCATGGGAAAAATTGTAACAGGTTCAAACCCAGCCCAGTCTGAGCTAGGCAGTCGCATTTGTGTTCAGATCAAGTCTCACGTCTGCATGCTGTTACTGAGGCTGGCCCATTAAGCGTAAATTCCCAGGGAAGGGACTGAGAAATCTCATCTCCAATTATTTATCTTATTACAAGGGTAGACATGGACTCATGCCTGTGTTCCTTCCCAGCATGTTTCCCCATGGTAGTGAGTAGACTCTCGGGTTTGGCTGTGCTGTGGTGATCTACCAGGTGGTCAGGCACTGAGACCCTTTGCTATGCAGGATTTGAGTTCAGGATGAAATAACTGAGCAAGAGCACAGTTCTGGTGTTAACAGCCCAACTACGCAGGCTGTGGCTGTGGGGAGCAGAGGAAGGGAGAGAGGGACAGGGCAGAATGAGTCTGGAGGGCTCACACAAACCTTGGCCTTGCTGGTCCCTCTGCAGCACCTGCTCCTGGCTCACCTGTCTCTGAGCATGCAGCACCTCTCACACCTAACCTGGCCCTGCACAAGTCTCAGCCAGGTGCTTGGCAGAGGCTGCTTCAGCTAATTAATGGTATCATCTGAGCTAATGAGAGCTTTCTGCCCAACCTGCTGGAGTTAAGGAAATCTGATGCCTGCTGTTCCAGCACCTTACTATGTTTTGGTTTGGGTTTTTTAGCAGTGAGTTTTATTAAGGTCCAGGTTATAATAAAGGATTTAAAGGCTAGAGGATTTTGACAATATTTTGATATTCTGGATGCTGGTTTGCATGGGCAAAGAAGGCCCTGGGAGAGACTTGTGTTTGCACAGGTCCATGTTGGGGGCTATGCTGGGAGGCACTGAGTGACGCAGGGGAGTGGACCTACTTTGTCCATACAAATAGATCCACCTTAAGATTTTATCTGTGGAGAGCAATTGGGGCAACATCCCCGTGGAAGCCCAGGGCTTCAGCTTGTGGAGGTGAGGGTGCTGGTGGGTGCAGGGGCTGGGGGGAGCTACGCAGCTGCTGGGTGGAGGTACAGGACCCATGGAGTGTCCCTGTTCCCTCCCCAGCAGCATCGCAGCCTTCTGCCCCTGCAGCATCCATGTGATTTCCTCCCTGCCCTGGCATCATCCCAACCTTCTGCGCCCAGAGCCGCCCTGCTCCTTCCCCTCGGCATCCCAGCCTTTACTCCCCAGTGCATCCCTGCTCCTTCCCCGATTCCCTCTTGGAGCATCCTTCTGCCCATTTCTGCAGCAGAGCTCTGCAGCACCTTCAGTGTGTGCTCAGGGCACCTCCTCTGCACTGGTGCTTTGTAACTCAGAGCAGAACATGATAGGAAAAAAAAAAAAGTGGTCTGTTTGCCCGCACCTATTGAGCCTAAGCTGCTCAGAGAGGCTTGGGAAAGCTGCTGGGAAGACTCTGCCTTGCTTTTCTGAGCAAATTGCATGCAGCTTTTGAAATCGGGCCCAAAAACTGAGCCCTGGCAGGAGGGGAAAAAGCTCTGGGCTTCACCTGGCCCCACACCCTCTCTGCTGTTGTCTGAGGCAAGTCAGGTTTGTAGGGAAATACAAACCATCTGCTGTGACCCCTCCCTATGCACTGTTGGAGTACAGGGGTCTCTGCTCCTGGTGCCCTTTGGGGACCCCCCGGCCCTTCAGTGCCCTGTACTTGCTCTGTAGGGGCAGCAAGCACTCTGGAAACAGAGAGCATCTCTTCTCACCCGAAAACAATTTTGAAAATGAAAGCAGGGAGGCAGAGCCTGGAGATGCTATCTCTCGTTTTTAAATAGCCTTTCCTCTCTGGCAGGGTGAAAGGCAATTTGCATTTCAAGAGGTCAGGACTAGCTATTTCTTTTTACCACCTGAAATTAGTTATTAGAAGTCTATCTAGAAACAAAACAACTCACGCACGGAAAGATGGCCTCTGCGGGCTCAAATTAACTGCTCCTGTCATCCCTGATTTCCCTGGCTGCTGCTGGAGGATGCTCAATCGAGGAGGTACCAGCACTGAACGGTGCAAAACCAAGAGCTTATCTGTAGGGCAGGAGATGCTCTGGCTATGGGGGACCTGCTGTGATAAGGGAGATGGGGACCTTCCCTGGCAAGGGGGAGGCTTTGCACCCTGCTGCTGTGCACAGGCTTGGCTCTAGAACGGGTGCTGCTGTGAGGATAACTCGATAACCATCTCCCTGCAAACGCTGCCTCCCTGCTCGCTGCCAGCTCCCACCCTTGCCCAGGAGTGAGCCCTCAGCCTGGTCCTGGCAATTAAATTCTCCCTAATAAAAAGCCTCTGGCAGCCCCGAGCTTGGCCAGGGCTGGGGTTTGCTGGGCGCTGATCGCTTTGTTTTCTCAGCTGCTGCCTCTGCCCTCCCTGAGCTCACTGCTGCCACTTATTTATATTGGAGTTTGCATTAGCAGATGCACTCTGGGATATTCAATTACCTATAAAGAGCTGTAGCAACGCAAGCCTTTGCTGGAGCGATCAAGAGGGTTGGGTTTGAGGTTTTCTTCTTGGGTTTGGATGTTGTGGGGGGTTTTTTAACTGGCTTTTAAAGGAGATGTGGGAATGGGTAAAGTGGTGACATTGAATTAAAAAAAAAAAAAAAAGTGGAGTGAAGAGAGGAAGAAATAAATAAATATTCCTGTTTATGAAATGAAACAGCCGCGTAGAAAAATGATCTCCGGGAAGAAAGCAGCTCCCAAGGCTATTTTTAGCTCTTTTGTTTCTTTTT